TATTTTCTGTTACTTCTCTTCCTTCTGCAGCGAGTATGGTGATCGATTCGCTAAGGGATGAAACGGTTGACGGTTGTGGTGTCGTCGGAGAAGATACAGAGGCACTGGAAACCGGCGGCGACGGCGAGGCCATGGCTGTGTTTGTGGGAGTATTACCTCCGCCTGCACTGCGGTTGAGGAAGAAGAGTTGGTGCAAGAGACAGTGTTGTGCCCTTTCTCTTATTTATAGTCAAGGCACGGTAGACGGTAAAGAATTAAGTTGAAATATATATTATAAATATTTAGTCATATAATTATTTTTTTATTTGTGATTTCTTATTTTTAGTATCATAAAAAAAAATTCAAGTAAAAAAAAAATCACATTTCTCATTCTATTTGTTTAAAATATTTCATCTGACCTTTGAGACACAAGCCATAAATATACATGTGAGTGAGAGAGAGAGAGAGAGAGAGAGAGAGAGAGAGAGAGAGAGAGAGAGTCTCTTCTTTATAATGATTTGAGCCTTCTCAACTCTAAAGTCACCATAATAATTACAATATATATACGCACCATGTTTATATATTTATAAAAAAAAGTCTTATGTTTTTATATTTAATTACTTCCTCTGGTCCCTAATATACGCCACCTTTTTTAAAAAAAAATTGTCCTTAATATAAAACGTTTAATGTGATATTAATTATATATTTTTCTAATGTTACCTCCATTTAAAATCATTAATTATGAGGGAGAATATAAAATAAATTTATAAAATTTTATTTTAAATTAGGGTAAAATTAAAAGTATATTTTATTTTTAGACAAAATTAATAATTTAATTACCTCTCTCATTAATTTCAATGAGGTGTTAAAGATACTTTATAATAAGAACTAAAGAATATATAGATATATATATATATATATATATATATGTACATTATATAAATTGCCGTAGAGCTTCTCTCTCATTTTAGGTGGTTGGTGTCAAAGAAAAAAAATCATAACAAGCCACATTGTACGTCTACAAGGTTCATTTTTTGGACTTCATCCAACGCATAAGTGGATATTTAATTTTCTATTAACATGATTATCGGGCTGATTATTTGACAATTTGACACTAAGAACTAAATATAAGATATTTTTCAGACATATCATTCACTAGACACTCTCCCCTCTTTTTATTAATTACAATTTACCAACATTAAGTTTTAATGGCATTTCTAAGAAAAAAATAGATTAATTACTGTATAATGTACTCCCTCTTGTCTTTGACGATGAAGTTAACAAATTTCGTGTTTGTTAGAAAATGTTAGTTATGACTTGACATTATAAAAAAATATTATTCTGCTTCTTAATATAGAACTAAGTTTGCAAGCTCTTTTTTATTCTAAATATAAAATAAATTTAGAGTTAATAACACTTTTTCTAATTTTACTTTTTGTTATTCTATTATGGTCATTAATTACAAAAAATAGTCAAATTAAAAAGTTACATTATTTTTTACAATTTCAAGATTATAAATAAAGTTTCTTAATAAATATGACGTTTGTTAATTTTGTTTAATATTAAGAATCATGAGAGCATGTAGCTTTTTAATTTTACTTTTTTGTTGTAATTGTTTGGACTAATGATTTTTGGTCTAAACCCAATCATTTTGACTAAAATTCAATTTGTAATCCAAGTCTCACTTCAAGTTTCTAAAAATGAAGTGGTTGAAGGAGATACCTAGTCATCTCAAGTATCTTTCTGAAAAATGAGAGTAGATAAAGTTTTGGAAGAAATTGCATATAATGATTCTAAGAAAATGAAGTGTGGAGTCTTGAAAAAATTGTCACTTTATACCTATAAAATGACAAGTCACCACACACATACACACAAAATTCTACACAATCTCTCTAAACACTTCAAATACTCTATTACAAAATCTATTTTGTTCATTACAAAACTCAAACCTTGATTTTTCATCATTCCAAACTCAATCAACATGACTTTTTTTTATTTTTCAACAAATTCATCACAGTGCTCTTGACACACCTCATTTTGTAGAGAGAAATGAATTTTCCAACAACCAATAGAACATCAAGGGAATCAAAATACTCAAAGAGCAATGAGTTCTCTGATAAACAATAGAGTGTTCTACGAGTTGTTGGAGAATTCATTACTGTTTGTTGAATGAGCACAACACACTAACACTCTTTTTTTTTAGTTTCCACTTTCCATCTCTTATTTTTCTTAATATCTCTTTTATTATTATCAATATTATGTCTGTTTTCACCATACAAATCTTGCATGTTTCTCCATATTTATTTCCTTTTCTTTTAAGAACTTGTATTTGATAAATTTGTTATAAAGGGTCTCAAGAACTTATCATTTGATTTAGAAGTAAAGTAAATCATATTTTTTGAAGACACGCTCCTCTAATGTGGCTGCGCACTGTAAACAGTAATTAACAATTATAATAAATTGTTGTTTAAAAATTGAAATAACAATATACAAATAAACAATGGGGTAAAATTTTAAAAAAATTGTTAATTACTTCAGCTTTATCATTTGTTTAGAATAATTTTTTTTTAAACTTTGTCATTTATTAAGAACTATATTAACCCCCCATTTCATAAAAGTTCATGTAAGTCGGAATTTCAAAACTCTTTAAAAGATGTGCTGTACTATCAATAAGAAAAAGTGCAGTCCCAAAAAAGATAAGGGGGGTAGTCTTTAATATAATTAACGTCAAGCATTACTTGTGTGTGGCAGTTGACAGACACGCCATTTCACGTGTTGTCCTTACAATTGGTGAATCTAAAACAACATATAACATTTTGTAATTTTTTTCCCGTAAAATTTAATGTATTTTTTATTTTCTTATAAAAACTAATCTTTATTTTTACTATTTTGAACTATTTAATTAATGGAAAAGATAAAATTGATATTTTTCATCCGAAATTAAATATGTCTTTCAATTTTAAAAATATAAGTTATTTTTAATTAAATTTTACCCCTAATAAAGTAATTATCTACTTTCAAATTAACTCTATTTTTTATATTTATCTCTATTAAACACCCTACAATAAATATAAAATTATTATCAATAGGAGCATTTTTGAAAAAAAAAGTAATGATTATATTTCGAAAAACTAAAAATGCCTTACACTTTTAAATATCCAATTCATTAAAAAATGCCTTATATTTTTTAATGGAAGGAGTGTAATTTAAATCTTTTTCATTCACACACAAGCTTATTTTCATTTTTGTATTAATGATTTCTAAACCTTCTAAATTTTATTCATATAAAACTAAAGTTTTTAATTAATCTTAAAAAATTAATCATTTAATTCATATAGTTGACTCTTAACTTGATTGCAACTTAATTTTTAAATTTTAACTCGCTACAATTCAATTCTTATACTTTTAGTAATTTAAAATATTTATCCTTGTACTTTAAAAAATAAAATTATGAAGATAAAAATTAGTCTAAGTTTTAAAACGTTGTAATCTTTACAAAGGCTAAAAGTTTTACTAATTTAAAATATTAGTTCCTAAATTTTAAAATAAATTTAATTTCTAAAGTTTTATTTTCTAAAATACAAATATTAATATTTTAAATAATTAAAATTATAAAAATTGAATTATAAATTGAGTCAAGACTATGTCTATATGTATCAAATAGTTAATTTTTTTATGAGGTGTTGATTTTACTGACTTTTTCCCAGTTTGGTTTTTATGTTACAAAACCAATTGGGCCAATTAGGCCCAGTATTTTGTAACATATGGAAATTCAAATTCAATTGAACCCATGACACACTCATGAAAAGGCCTACAATAATTGGGCTTTTAATTTTTTTTTTTTAAGTTTCATATGTAATAAGGAGGATAAAAAACCTGTACAATGCATCCAAGTCTCTCACTTTGGGAAGCTGTGAGTACAATTCTGAATTAGAGAAGTAGGAACTCTGGGCAAGTTATAAGCAAGATCAAACACAAAATCTTCTAGTCACACGAAGGCTTCTATATCATTAGACTATAAAAGCCATTGATTGTGGAGCACACTTTTAAATTGAAGCATTCATAGAGATTGTTTAAAGAGAGGCACTAAAGAGCAGTTGGATTAAAGCAGATTTGTGAATCGATGTTCAAAACAAAGAATTTGTCCATATATCTGTGTGTGCTTGGTTAGTTGTTTTCAAAAAGTTGAAATTGGAAGAAAAAACTGTTGCTTGTCACAAATTTTGCTTCGGAACTGAAAAAACAAGCACACATTATGTTGAGAGTCTATTGCTTTTAGCAACCAATCCTTTTTTTTTTTCTTGAATGGCTTGATGCGTGTTTAGTTTATTGAGAAAACTCAATGGAAAAGTATTTTTAATCTTGTAAAATTTAAAATCGGCAAATTTTGCAACTAATCTTCCAAAAGTTAGCACAAACGAATAAAAAAAATTATTTCATTCATACATACTTGTGCAAGAATTTCATGTTAACCTTCTAAAATGTGAAAATATTACAACAGATGCTTCAACTTTTAGTAAGAAGGATTGAAAAAAAAAAAATTAACTGCTTAACAATTACACATTACACACTTCTCTAAAATTTAATATTGATAATGTGATAAATTTGCGATTATGTTCTAACTTCTACCACGATAGAAAAAGATTTAGTGGATGGGGTTCAAATTCTTATAATTGTGCATGCAACAATTTGATTGATAAAGGTCTACTATTTTTTTTAGTACCTTGAAAATTTTCTCTGTTGTTATCGGTGGCACATAATTTTTATGCTTAAAAAAAAGTTTGAAATCTTGTTTGGTGTGTGTATGTATTGACCTTTTGGAATCTTATGCTAATATGTAAAAAAATTAATAACTGATATTCAAAGTCTTAATAATATTTTAAAGACAAATAATTCATTTTATTTGTATTATTAAGTACTTGAGTTCTTTATTAGAATTTTAAAATATTTCAGTCTTAAATCATTATTAAATATTTAAATTGAAGCATGGGCTTGATTTTGAAAGTTGTAAAGGAACAAACCCTAACTAAGCTGGCTTTTCTCTCGCTGTCTCACACTGTGACTTAGAGCACCCGCCACCCGACTCTACCTCTCATTCTCAACTCTGAAGCTCGGTTGTCTCCCCTCGTCCCCCTCAGTCGACGGCGTCGGCGTCGACGTCGACCTCCCCTCTCCTCGGCTTCTCGACCCCCTGCTCTTGCTCTGTCGCTCTGGTTCTCGTTGCGTGTTGCTTCCACCGACCTTTTCCTCCTCTCGCCGTCTCGCTCTCGCTCTCGCTCTCGCTCTCGCTCTCCATCTCAGGCCTAAGCTCGAGTTCCCCTCGGCTTATCTGTAAGCTTTCCTCCTCCATCCTTATCTTGGTCTTGCAGACTCTCGTCCGTCGTGCTACTGCTCATCTCAATTTTGCTGGCTGGTGCTCTTCTGATGGTCTGATGGACTGTTGTTGATTCCTTGTGTGCCATTATGTGTCTATATATATATATATATGGTTGATTGTTGATTCATCCCCAAACTTCACTCGCTGTCCTTCTCGTGCTCTTAATCAGCGGTCCGTTCTTATTTTTAAGTGCTCTCTTTCAATTTTTGTTTTTAAAAGATCAGTAAGTTAACTTCAATTTTCACGTTTTCTGCATGCTTGACTATTGTCTCTTGAGGCTTCAATATGTTTTCTGCTTGTATGCGATTTTCACGTTTTCACACATTGTTTGCAGCTAAGATTGGGCCTGAACTTCATTATGAATGCATCCTTTTCTCCCCCGTCCCCCAAAAAATAAGTACATTATGCTTTTGAAAAAAAAAAAAATTGGGCATAACCTACTAGCTTAGGTTGTTATGCATGATTTTGATAATACATACTCAATGACTATTATTTGAATCATGTATTTTCTTTTCTTTCTATTTTTTATGGGTGAAATATCTGACTCGTGTTTTTTACTACCATAATAGAATCTTGATGTTCATGGTGATTGGTGGAATTTTAACATCTACATTTGTTTATTTTTATTTTAGAGCATATTTAGTTCTGGGAGTATTATGATAATTAATGTTAACAATCTCGGACAGAAATTTGTATGTTGTACGTTATGTCATTCAAGAATGTTAGTTTCTTAGTTTATGGAGCATAACATGACCCTCTACTGGCCTTGTTAGTTTTAGTTGCTTATGACATTATGTCAGTGCCTCTGGTTGTAAACTTGTAATAAAGACAGCAGAAGCCCAAGCAACTTTTATTTTGGTCAATGTGTTGATACTCCTTGGAAGTTCTTTTTTACTTCTTTTGTCTATCTTACCCATGTCAAAATCTGGCTCTTTTTTTTCCCTTATCATTTGAATCCTCATTTTCATAATTTATTAACTTTAATGGAGGAAGTGATATAGCTGTTACTGGGCTATTAAACACAGCAGAAGCAAATGGGACCATCTCTGCTGCGTGAATGGATGAGCAAAGTCCAGTGACTTGTGTCATGGAACTAGCATTTTGTAGTCTTATAAGTTTTAGTGCTTAGTGCCTTAGTCATGTGTTGGTTTAACTATCTCCTAACTATCAGTTACGGGCATGTGAGCTAGGTACTGTTTTTAATTTTAAGAATAAACATATGGAACTAAAGATTGCTTAAATCTCGTTTGTTCTAGGCATACATGTGTGAAGGTTGAAGGGCTTACAAATGAAGACAATCTCTGGAAAGCCTATTTCAGAAAAACCAATCTCTCTTTCAAAAGCTGCAAAAATCCTCTCAAAGTTTATCTCTGCTGAGAATGGTGCTTCACATGTCATCAGTGCATATCTCCATCGAGCCTCTAGTTCGTTCAGTGAGCTGAAACAGCTCCACAAGGAGCTCAAATCACCACGTTCTGATCGGAAGCACAAAAGGAGTAGATCAAAGACTCATAATGGCAAAGAGAAAATTGAGGAGATTAATGAGCAGTTAAATCAGAGGGCTGTGCATCGGTTTGGCAGTAAAGGTCCCTGTGAGGATGGACAAAAATCATCTCAAACAATTGTCAAATTCAATCAAGAACCTGATGGAGCCACTGAATATCATGCAGGAACTGAGGGTGGGAGTGAAACGCTTAAGAAGAAGAAAAAGAAGCATGGCATTAAGTTCCAGGAGCAAGGAGATAATGGGGTTGAAATTGGAGAGGTGGAAGTTGATCGGAAACCACGAACTGAGGCCAGAAATGAAATTGAAGAAAAACCAACTCATGGTGGCCTTGATTTTAGTCAAGAACCCACTAAGAGGGAGAAGCATAAGGAGAAAAAGGAACGTGAAGATGAGTCCAATAAGAATGTGGCCGGTGAGGTTAAATTTGAAGAGGGATCAAATGAGGGAAACGCAGGTGATGACAAGGGATTGGTGGATGGAAAGAAACATAAACAGGAGAAGAAGAAAAAGAAAGACAAGGATATTACGTTCAACTTTTCTGGCAAAGAGGGTGAGGTTATCAAACCAGAATATGGGATTGCAAGTACAGAATATGACCAAAAAGGGATACTAAGCAATGGTGTTGAGAACAAACATGGAGACTCTGTTGATAAAAAGGAATTACCAAGTAAAAAGAAAAAGAGACATGTGGCAGGAAGCGAGGATAAAATAAATACTGATGAGGTAAAGGGGTTGCAGAAAAAAAGAAAGAACGAAGACGGGGAAGGGAGAGATGATGCTGAACCCGGGGAACCAACTAGGAAAAAAATTAAGAAAAAACATGGGGGAGATGATTAACTGTACGTGTGCCAGCATTTCACTTGGATTTTGTTAGTTCCATCTTACTGAAAATCAATGAGGAATTTGTGTTGGGTTAACTCGTGGCATTACTTTTGAAACCATTATTAGCATCACATGAATTTTTGTTGGCCTTGTTCTTGTGTAACCGTAGCATGCCCTTCCATTTATCAAACTAGTTACGCCCGCGCCCGCTCTCACGCATATTGTGGAGGATAATGTATGAATGAATTACAAGTACGATGACTTGGCATATGTACAATCTATCACTTATGTCTTATAAACAGTGGAAGTATTATTGTTTTGTTTTCTCAGGTCGGTGAGTAATGGATCATCCCAGGTTAATGACAATCTGCCCTTGTTGAATAAGACTGGGAGTGAATTATTAGTTATGAACGTCAAAATGCATTGCATGGAAGAACAAAGTCAATAAACAAAGAATTCTCATTTAAATGTTGAAAGACATCAAAGTTAGTCGAAACATTTGTTGCCGTAGTACGTAGGGGCGTCTCACAATAGGTAACACAACTGACAATTTTTTCTTAATACGAAACAATTTTTTCTTGAAACGCCAAAAAGAAAAAAAATCAATCTCTCCACGGCATTTCCGGATGGAGAAGAGTAACTCGTAACAGTTATTTGCTCAATAAAGAACGCCATAAGTGGCGGCAAATTCCGGTGAATAAAAGTTGAAGAGTGTCATATCAGGCCGAAGTTAACAGACGGGGAGATCCGATGGTGGTGGAAGTAGTTTCTGATTGGGAAGTTCTCCATCCAAGACGACCCACGCCATTTTCAGACCCCAGCTTGTGTGAATTTCCAGGTGACAATGCATGAACCATACGCCTGCCCACATCAATAACAAAAGTTTATGAGCTTTTCATTATCTCGCACTCTTTATTTTCTTCAGATATGAATATATTCTGTTATTTAAAACCGCAAATGCATGCCGGGGGTGTTTGTTAATTTGCCAAAACGAATAGAATAAGAGCAAATACTTAGCTTTTAACTAGTACTACTTTGTTCCGGACGGAAAAAACTAGGACTACTTTGTTACTTGCCTTGTTTGAACTTCTAATTAACGGGGCGATTAATAAAAGTTAAGCTAGCCAAATAGGCACGGGACCAGATTTATGTTCCCCAATAATAAAAAAAACATGTGGTTGAAAATTTCTAGGACCCCAAATCATGTGGTGTTAAACTGTTAAATTATTCACTGGTCCCCCCCCCCCCCAAAATTTTTCCTTTGAGAACCTGATAGGGCGGACCTATAAATTGTAGTTAAATTTTAACCATAAGCACTACCTCACAACAAGCACAAATCTTACAAACCTGGGTTATCTGCAAGAAAACGAATGGCAACCCATCCACCAGAGGGGACATCCACCGTGTTCCTTTCAACGGGATCAACAAGATTGAAATTTGCAGTGTCCTTATTTGGATTGAAGTTGCCAAACCCTCGGCCAACAACAAAGAAGTTAAAGCCATGCAAATGGAGAGGATGACTTTCAGCGCCTAGTATACTGGTGTCCTGCATGATAAGCTCCACGCTAGTGTTGAAGGGAAGAATCACCAACTTTGTCCCATTGCTCACCATGGTGTTGTTTGGTGGGGTGCCGGTGTAGTTGAATGGATGCAAGGGGCTCCTAGGAAAGTTTGGGGAGTAAACTCCGGTAGACTGCCCAAAGTGGTGGGCTTGAAGAAGAGCAGTGTTTGGGAGTGTGAAAGATACATTATTGATTGAAGCCGCAAACATTGTTCCATTGGGTCCTTGACATGTTTGATTGTGAGCACAGGGACTTGTACCAAGGCCTACTGTGAAGAAAAATTGCTTATCGACTTTCTGGGGAACATCGGCAGGAAACTGAGCATTTGCGAGGCTACTAAGTTTTTTAGCAAAATTGGTTGCGAAGGAAGTGTCATTAAGGGCAGGGAGGATTGGTTTGAAGAGTGGGAGCTTCTTCAAGTGAAGAGAATTTGATGGGGATTCATATTCCAGGATACCAGCAACAGTTGAGTTATCAAAAGTGCCAAGGCCAGTCACGTATGGTCTGGCAGTCATGAGGAATGTGGCTTTGGGGTAGTGGGATTTGGTTTTAAGAATAACATTAGTGGTTTGTCCGGGGGTAATGAGAATGGCGTTAGTCTCAAAAGGCTTAACATATACTGCATCTGCTTCAACGACTGTGAGGGTGTGATTCGCAATACTGAAGAAGAGCTCATCATTGAGTGCTGCGTTGACCACACGAAGAAGGTATGTTTTTCCAGGCTTTACCTTCAGTTTGAATGTATCTGCAAAACCAATCTTTTATATTCAATCAAAATAAATCGGGGTTTCAATTCATAAACATCCTATCCTTTATGTGATTGAGTCTTAATGTAAGTTGTTGCTTAAAAAATAATGAGTAATCATTAAAACTCAGGGAGGACTAATAATCATTGGGATTCAGCCACTACTAATGTTGGGTATCTTACAGAAATATATCTACGAAAAGTACTTGATACCTTTAGCAGAGCAATTGTACAGTGGCCCTGGAAGTCCATTGATAGTGTAGGCATCAGAGACATTTGGACCACCACCCGTTTGTAGGGCTTGGGCTATGACTGCCTCAGTATCTGCATTCCACCATTCTCCTAGAAAAATTTAATATAATTCAAATTGGTTAGCATGTTTATGCTTTCAAAAAGTAAAACGACACCAGTGTATATTAATATATCATTACCAAAGACCATGGGAACTTCCTTGTAGGGTGTGGTGAAAGGATATGGAACACCACGCTGGGGAAGGATAATGATAGGACCGTAGACACTTGATCTTAACCATGATATATGGGCATGATAAAAGAGAGTGCCTCTTTGGCCAACAATGGTGTAATTGTAGACATAACTTTGGCCTGTTTGGATGGGGCACTGTGTCACATATGCAGGTCCATCAGCCCATCCTGATTGAAGTTGTCGAATTCCATGCCTATTCAAAACACAACCAAGATTTTGACAGATGTAGTTTAGTTTCTTTCTTTCTCTCTGTATTTTTTTTTTTTCAAGAAGACTTGATCTATAAAATATAAGTGAACCGCACCAATCATAATAAAATATTTATGCAAGTCAGATGTGAGTCTGTTGTTTTAAGAATAGCTCTGTTTACATGTTTTTTGGCAGACCAAGTCTACCTTAGAATTTTTCCATGAAGATTGAAGATTTTAATCAAAGAAAAATGTTCCTTACCAATGGATGGTGATGTTGTTCTGTACATGGTTAACCACTTTGATAACAAGACGATCACCTTCCCTTGCTACAATGCGAGGTCCTGGAAACTGACCATTGACAGTGACCATGCTCTTGGTGTGGCATAGCCGTGTTACATTTTGGTACTTAATCTGCATCAGAAAGCCTTTTACATTAGATAAAGTACAAACAGTGAATGGGAACATGGAATGCTAAAGGCATATTCATGAAACTTGAAAGTTAGCTATAAGATAATGAGAAGTACATCAAAATGGTAGTTCCTCGTAATGCCCCCCTCTGCAAACTGAGGGATGAGAATCACTGAGAAAAGAAAGAGTGCTGGAAATGCAAATGATTGAAGAGGTACACCCATTTTTCTCTTTTCATACAGAAGTTAATGATGGCTTTGGGAGAGTGGCAGAGAGCAGGTTTTGCCCTTTTAGTCTGAACCGTGGATGCAGAGGAGGGTCATGGGTTGGCAATATAAAGAAGAATGAGACAACGTTGTTGTTCAATTAGGTGATGCAAAACCACATGTTTCACACAGAAGCTGAAATCTAGAAGAGCTAAATTACTACATTCTAATGGTATGAGTTGTTAGAACAACTAAAGAGTGGTGTCCAAGACAATCAATTGCCTTTGACCTCCTTCTTGTTTAAGTCAAATCTTGAAAGATTTGCTTGTCTAAGGCACTGCTCTTGCAAATCCCATATGTTATTGGTTGATTTAATCTGTACGCTTTTTACATGGAGAATGACGTTTCTAAATTGTAAGTTTGCAGCCCAACCAAGGTGTCAATTCATTGAAGCTGCAAATGTCAGAACGTATGGTAAACAGACATGCCAAAAGTGAGTTTTACAATTTTACTCTGCTTTAAGATACTTATATATATTGATTAATAATTGATGAGGCCTTCAAGATTCTTAGAATGAATCCTTTTTAAGAATTTCTTTGAAGTGAAACAAATAATATGAAATTTCATTGTCATTTTCAAAGGTGAAGCTTGCGATTGAGAAGGCATAGGCCATTGGTTAGATGTAATTGTCTCAACAGAAGTTCTTGGTTACAAAGCAATATTTGAAATGAAGGACATAGAAGACGGCTTTCTGTTCTCTCTATCAGGCAGTCCCTTTTAGAGGTAGATGCATGCCCTAGCTTTTTTATATTATTATTAACAACATGGCAGATAGCATGCAACAATAGTACGGAACCTTAAGCAAACAACTGTGGTATTAGCGAAGTTTCCAAAGAAAAATCAAATAAATTAATTTAAAATCCCTCTTACGGCTAACTCTAAATTCAATTGTAATAAGCATTAATCTAACGTGCACTTTTAATTTCCTCAATATCCACTAATCAATTATTTTTTGTTGGATCAAAGGCATGAATGGATTCTTTTGTATCATGTCATTGATATGATGAAAAACATTTTACAGTAGACTTAAGCTGAAAGGTATTCAACAAGATCCTTTGGAAAGTCCTAATTATTTATAAAACTTGATATCTTTTTTTTTTTTGATACAATAAAACTTGATATCTCATATAATTGGAAAAAATGACAAGTAAAGACCTTGTAAGAACATTAATTTAAATTAAAAATTTTAGTACTGACACATGGTAGAAGGAAAATTGAAATTTGAAAACATTAGTGTTGAATAATTTTAATTTGACATTTATATTTTTACAAAGTCCTTATTTGTCATTCTCCCAAGTTCCAATAGGTTCAAGTGTCTTTTTCTGGGCCAGAAGTGTGAGAATTCGACGTTGGGCTCCTTTAACGATGTTTTCCGAATTGAATAAGAAAATTTTGATTTGGTCCAGAATTTTGTACATGGGCCGAAATGTTCTGAGATGATAAAATAGTCTGGCCAGAAAACTTATCCAATGGCTAATTCCAAAAACGTCATGAGTTCAAATGCATACTTGACTTCTCATTGAAAGCAATTTTAATCAAGGCCATCCTCTTATACCAATTTTAAGAAACATCTATAATCTCACAATGAGAAATTGGGAGATTAATTTTGACCACGTCTACAAAAAAACCAATTGATATGCCGATTTTTTAACCCATAAGATTTCAAGGGATTATTTCGATATTACTTTTTTTGACATTCTGCCTATTGATTGTAGAAGCCTTATGACTTCTGACATGACCTGATTTTAGTCTTCTTGCATAGTTTTTTATCGTGGCAATGTATTCAAAAAAAAATGTATACTTGACTTGTTCAATTTATCTTTATTTGTTCTTTTTTTAACCTCCTTAATATTATCAACATGGTTTTTTACATAACCATTACTACATATATTATCACTGTTTCCTTACTGTAAGTTCTATACCGTCTAGTAAATCTTTCCAGGGAGATTTAAATATTTAATTAAAGGATACTTTCACATCAAATAATTTAAAGGCGAAATTAGATGTATTATCAGTATCACTTGGTTTAAGTAGAGAGGGATGTTGAACTTTTCTAGTGAAATTCGTCTTGCTTTGTCGGTTAAAAGGCTTAACTTCTTGAGAAGTTATCTATCACATATCTTTCACAACTATAGGAAAGTAACTTAATGAGCAGAACCCATGAAAGTTTTACTTCCCCAGTATTTATAGTATATTTCAAAATTTATCCTTAAAAATTATAAAATAAAGGCTAAATTATTCAAAATTTCATGAACTCCAGACCATACCAATAAACCATTGAACCTTTAAAACTTAATAATAAACCTTTCTAAGCTTTTAAACTTTTAAATTGGTGCGGATAACTCCCAACTATCAATCATGTATTCCTTTAAACTTTATTTTTCATGTGCATATGACTCCTCAAACTTTGAGTTATATATATCCCTTTAAATATATAATTTAGAAAGTTAAAAATAAAAAATAAATAAATTTGGACTGTTGCAGTAGGTTTAGAAGGTGTAAATTATATTATAGTAATGATGACAGAGTTAGGACACGATTAATGATAGCAACTTGGGTGGATGAAGAAATGGTTGGAATCTTAGCTTTAACAATCAAAATGAGACTGAGTAAACGGGATTAGGAAGAGATACTTTGCCTTAATGGAGGAAAGGTTAACCCTGCTAAAGCGAGGAAGCATAAGTAAAAGTGAAGGAGCCTCATTAATTATTAATTATATTCTGAAAATATTTCACAAAAACCATATAATCAATGATTTATTTAAAGTACTATGATGAAGAATATGCACTTTACGAAGGAGTCAAGCTAGGAATATGAAGGAACCTTCAGAATTCGTGTCTATAAATTTCTCAACAAAGAGCATCTATCATCAACGTGATCTGTTCTGCAAATGGTTTCATCAGAAAACTGAGAAAATGGGAAAGAGCTGTGGAGGGCCATGCTTTCTCTGTTTCACTTTGCTTTTGGTTCCTCTTCTCCAAGCTGAGCAGACCTTTCCTTCAGAAAACAAGGTAACTAATAATTGTGTTTAAGTTTAAAGAAGACACGTATTTTTACCCACCATGCACGTAATCTAAGCTAAATTATGTTGGTAATGACTTACTAATAGTATGATTTGTTATATATTTTATATTGATTTCGATGATCATATTATGATTGGGTCCTAAAATGATTTTGAGTCAACACTCTGATCTCTCACTACAAGTGAAATTCATCTTAAATAGTTGAATAAATTGAAGCTACTTGTCAATAATTTGAATTAGACTGCAAGTAACTTAAATTTATTGCGTTATTCATAACTTGTAAATACTAGTAGCAATTTCTTATAAATTCTAGATATTAATATTGATCAGTTTGATTGATATAAACTGTATATCTTTGATATTAATATTAATCAGATAGATGTATGTGGTCCATGTGATCCTCAGAGTTTGAAGAAAGTGACACTATTTGTGATTTATAAACAGTGTGATTTATTTTTGGAAATAAAATGGAAAGGCGAGATGCTTAATGAAGACCAATGAGATCTAAAGAAAGTAAGTGTGACTCTATCAAAACTATGGCTTCTTCATTAATGTTTTGAGTGAAATGAGCAATGAAGTGGTCAACACGCGTGTCATCTTCTCTGTACACATGCTCATAAGAGACCTCCCAATATACAACATCAAAAAATTCCTGATGTCTTGAACAATGTTGCAGCTCGGATGGTTAATGGCATGGATGATCATGATTTAAACAGTGTGATTTTACATTGATAATATGTGTTTATTGATGAGTATATCATAGTTTTGAAAATTGGGTTAATTCGACCACTAGAACTGATAAATTGCTGAACCGATATCTTAATTGATCTAGTGAAAATGCTGTATTTATGATTGGCCTAATCACGATTCGACTATGATTTTGATTATTATTAATTTTTGAACTAATATTTTGATTAGTCCAATAATAGGTTTAGTTTTTGATACCTTGGATTACATAAAATTTTTCAAGTAAATACAACAGAAAAATTGCACCTACGTGATCACCATAGAAACAACATGCACGGTGGGAGCTGAAACTTCGAACCATGTGAGCCTAAGATTTGGAGACACCAATTCAAATGACATAGTGGTTCGTCACCTCAACTCCAAGCACATTAAAAAAGTGGACCCATTGGAGCCTGAGGTTCTTGACGATGTACCCAGAAGGCCCTTTCAGGCTTGCATGGTGGACCAGTTTCTGGTCACTGCTCCATGCGTGGACTCCCCCATCTGCTACCTCTACCTCAAAATGATCGGCCTCGACGACTGGCGGCCAGGCTTTGCACAGGTCCGGGTGCTCGGAAGGTCTCATCTGAGCTCCAACTTGTTCCATCTCCGGCGATTTATGCCGAGACATGTGTGGCATGGTGCCGATGCATGTGACAGAGAACTTACTCCTTTTGGTCTCAGGAAGAAGAGAAAGGCGTATGTCAAAACTCCTTAGCTTGTGAAACACACTATTATCTTTTTTCTTTTAACAAATACTATGAAAAAAGAAACACTAAACCACTAGTGGTTTAATTAATGCAATTGATCTTCATATTTCTTGTTGTCACTTTTTATTTAAAAATGCAACAACACATAATTTTTTTAGTTATAACATAACAAGTAAATCATTTAAATAAAAATATAATATAATTTTTTTACTTTTAAATAAAATTAATTACTTAACCATCTCTCTTCAATTTAAACGAGGTGGATAGTGCCTGGAGAAAGTAGCTCTCAAATATATTTTGTCTGTAAAGTTTAGTTTAAATTTGTGAATTGACGTCTAGATTTAATTTCTTAAATTCTTTTAAAGAAGTTTAATTTTTGAAATAATAATATAATTGACATGTATATATTCATGATCATTATCTATTTATTATTTCTACGATTCTAAAAATTGGACATCCCCTGCCTCCCAAAATCTCTGTTTGTCCTTCTTCTTCTTCTTCTTTTTTGTAATATATATATCTTACATATATACTCTGATTTTATTTATAAGTCATTTTTAATATTTTTATTAAAAAAAAAAATCTTAAATTTCAATAATTTTTTCTAAAACTTTAACAAGTTTTTTACTTTACCCCTGTTAAATATACTTACTTTAAAAATAAAATACTCTAATATTTAATAATTTTTTTAATATTAAATAAGAGCAAAAGAGTAAAGATAGATATAATAATCATTCAAGTGCTCTATAAATAAGACTAAAGCAAATCTTTTCTCTTTGTCTTGTAAATAGGATTACAGAAATATCTTATTAAAAGTAATTTTTTTCAAGATATGGTTGAGCATTAAATGTATACACATCTTCTAATGAGATTCAAACCTTTCCTAATTATTTTTTAATTGCAAGTTGCTTAATTTCAAACTATGTTTAGTACCAATATTATTAAGTACCTTTTAAAAACTATAATTTTTCTTAAAACGTGCATGAATGTTGAACGAGATTGTTGTGGTAATTTGATTTAATTTATCAAAACTCAAATCACCTAATAAGAGATTCCCTTGAGTGTCGGCCTAAATTAACTTGCAATTTACGCAAACTAGCTAGTTCATGTAATTAATAGGTTAGGCAGATCAAGTCAGAGATGATGATACCTAAAAAAAAAAAAGAAGAATTTGGAGTTGGAGAGCAGGTGAAATGGTGGGTTAGATTAGATGGAATCGACCCAATTAATGTATAACTGATCCTATTTGATAATAACAATTAACTACTTGTTTAGCATTTGGTCTTCATTTCACTTCTTTAATATACTCCATCCGTTTCAATATTATAAGAAATTCTTAATTGAGTTATATTCCCAATGAGTTAATTAATTGTTTTTAAAATTATGCACTCTTTTTATGCTTATCTTTTTTTAATAGGATATCTTAATTAAAAAATATTATTAATTTTACCCCCTAATTAAGAGTACTTTTAGAAAAATCTCATTAATTACATTTTGAAAGGTCTAAAATATCTTATATTTTTTAACATATCATCTTAAAAAAATGATTTATATTTTTGGATGAAGTAAACAAGGTAAATTGTAACTTCTACAAGATGAAGATCTCATCTATATATTCATCAAGAAAAGGGAAAATATAACATTACGTCACTATACTTCGATTGTATTTTGTTTGTAATCTATATAGTTTCATTTTGTTGCTACTAATCCCTTTAGTTTGATCAACCTACAATGTTATTACATTAGTTCTTATAATTTTAAAAATACACATAAAAATCATAAGCTGATGTTGACATAGTTAATTTCATTGTAACTTTGCTAACCCTGGCATTGTAAAAATATGTGGACATGGAAATAAATTGACTATGTATGATTTTTTTTTTTTAAAAGCTTTCCTTTACACTTGGTTTAAACAGAAAAGGAGATGAGGGAAAAATTAAGTACAGTCAATGAGATATTAATAGAATTAAGTACAATTAACAAGATTAACTTCATCATACCAGTTCACGTTCTTTGTGTGTATCATTAAAATTATATATAAGGACTAATGTTGTGGATAATAAATCAAACTAAAGGGATTGAGAACAACAAAATAAAACCTTAGAAACTAAAAGCAAAATGCTGGGATTTGTTATTATATTTTCTTAAAGAAAATTATAAAAATCACGAAAAAGTGATTAAACTATACTCTCACTTGTCTTAATTAAAGGACATTTAAATTTTTTTTGGGTTCTAAATATAAAACTTTGTTGTAGTTAATTAATTTTAGTAAATGGCAAAATTAGAAAGTCAAATATTTTTTCATAAATTAAAAAATATTAACTAATAAACTTTACGGATAGTGAAGTTGATTAATTTACTTTATAATTAATACCAGAGGGAGTACAAAATTAAATTAAGAGAGTAAAGAGAACAAGAAACATAAACACACAAATAAAATCAAGAGCGAGAAGGAAGGAAACATTCAGACGTTGCATTATGAGAATGTGAGTTGTTTCTGTTCTCCCGACCACATGAAGTGAATAACAACAGACAAGTAATTATACAAATTCAGAATCTGATAATGCAAACATATTTATATTCACTCCATGCGGTGGATGTAGATCAAACATTTAATATTGATCGTACAATCATTTAGTGAGGAAACAAATTTGGATTCAGTTTTTTTTTTAACCTCAGAAATTGGATTCAGTATGCATGAACATATTCGGTAAGAGGCAGAGTGAGGCAATGACCCATATCATTTGCAATTCTTTCTAAATTAATTAATGAAATGGTGTTTGATTTATATATATAATACTCTAAAGCATGGTTTCATTGGTCTTATTTATAAAACGTCATTTTCAATATTTTTATTAAAATTAAAGAAAATCTTAAATCACATTAACTCTTTTTAAAAATTAAATAAATGTTTAACTTTATCTTTATTAAATATATCTACTTTAAAATAAAATACTTTATCATTTAATAAACTTTTCAACATTTAATAACGGTTAAATGGTAAAGATAAATATAATAATAATTAAAAAGTTTTAATGAATAAGACTAAACCAAATATTCTTTTTTTATCCTATAAATAGGATAAGATATGTATGTTTAATATTGCGTATAGATGATCCTTAGGAAGGATTATTTAACACCTCTCAGTAAATCTGCCTATTGCATAATCCAAACCAAATCATGCAAAGGTTCATCATTGTATTACCCCTCCTGTTTCAAATTTTTACATTTTTTTAGAAAGTCCTATAGTTTAATATTTAAAACCAAAGTAGTATTGCTCTTGTCTCAAATTATAAAATTATACATATTAATAAAGTTCAATAATGATACTTTATAAACTTACATTTTAAAATAAAAATATAAAATTTTAAAAATGCTCTTCATTTAATATAATTTTAAATTTACACACTTAATTATTACACTATATTCATTTCGATTTTTTTTTCTACTTGAAGGATAATATTAAAAAAATAATTAATAAAATCTTATTTTTATCAAATTACATTATATTTTGGGACAGCAAAATGCTTCCAAAGTTATCTTATAATTTGAGACAGTAAAATACTTTTAAAGTTATCTTATAATTTGGGATAGAGGGAGTATTTATTTTTGACTCAACAACTATACAATATGTATGTGTGTGAAGAGACTAGTCTTGCAATATTTTTAATTCATCACCACAATATTTTTCAAACAACCTTAGCTTGTATATATGTTAATTGATTCATTTTTTTTTCTCTTCCTTCGCATAAATTATAATCAACCAAACAGTAAATTCTAAGTTTTTTTTTTTTAAACATAGCTTCCTCTTTTCTTTTCTTTGTGAGTTAACTTTGCAATATATTCGTCAAAGTAAATATAATTAATATAGGCAATCAAAAAATATAATCCATATAGTATTAATATAAATATAAAACTATACAGCCATACAAGACGAATATATAGTCCTGTATGGCTGTATAGTTTTTTTTTTTTTTTACTGGAAAGCAACCCATACAGACATCATATTCATGGGGTTTAAAGACTAAGAATTAACCTCACACTTAAGAGACACTTGAAGTCACTCTCATAATTTTAATTATGAAAAAATATAAACAATCACCAATCTTTTTTTATGGTAGATCCTGCATTAGTGAGCATATCTAAAATAGTACTATATGCAGATAAAGGATGAAAGTGATAGTAAGAAACGGGAACAAAATGATGAAAAGTCACAAGAGTATGAACTTAAATTAATGATGACCAGTGAAAGTAGTGAAAGGCTCTATGTTCTTTACGTGCACTTTCATAATTATTTCCTCTAATTAAACTATGCCTCTGCATGCATGCTGCTCTTCTTTTTTAGCATAATTATATAATATTATGTTATTGCCAAAAATAATGTAACACCACCATTATTATTCGCTAAGTTTCAATATTTGTATCATCACCTTGCTTATGGAATACTATATATACATTATTATATTATATGCATACGTTTGCTTTATGTTTTGGATTTTGAAACGAGATAAGTAATTTAAATCTTCCATGCAACACAGTGAATATTTTAAGAACAAATTTATATTATATATAATTAACATAAATATTTACACTTCAAATTATAGAAACTTGTTGGAAAAAAAAATATATATATATATATAAAATAACAATAACAAATTTATATGACATATATATAGATCTAATAAATATAATAAATTTATACAAATAAAAGTAAAATGTAAAAATATTTTAGGGATAATATATATAACTTTTGGTTTTTAAATTTTCTCCAAATTATCAATTCCTAAATTTTGATTTATATAACTCAGTTCTCATAATTTATTGAGTTAAGAAAGATTTATAAAAATTGAATTGCATGGAATCAACAAAAAATAAAAGGATTGAGTTGTTTTGAATTAATAAATTATAAAAATTGAATTATTTTAAATTAAAGTTTAGAGGATAAATAAAAAAATGTTCATGGACCAAAATTATATTTTATCATTTTTTTTAAGAGATTGGAGATTTAAATCAACTAAATCCTTCATCATTTGTAATGATTGGATTAATTTTATATTAATTTTTTCCTCAAATAACATTTATAATCAATGTTACATCAAATATTTA